ACTTCCCATTTTGTGAATTTCAGACCAGAGTATACACTATTGTTTCAGTCTGTTTCCTGTTGTGATAACAAAACACCCCGAGATAGAGTAATTTATAAAGTAGAAGGTTTCTGTGGCTTGTTTCTCAGCTTTGGGAATTCCTAGAACGTGGAACCTGCGTCTGATGAGGGTCTCTGTGCTGTGTCATGTGGCGAGACTTGTTTTCACATTTTTATTTTGTGTACACGATGCATACAGAGGTCAGAGGATGACCTGTATGAGTTGGTTCTCTCCTTCCACTGTGGGACAGGTCCTCAGACTTGGCCATCTCGCCAGCTCTCCCCACCTGCCCCATTTACAAAGATTTATTTACTTTAATTTTGTGTGTATGATTGCTTGCTAGTATGTATGTGCGTGCCGTGTGCATACAGGACCCCACAGAGCCCAGAAGAGACATCACACACCCTGACAGTCGAGTTCTAGGTGGTCGTGAGCCTGCATGTGGGTGCTGGGAACTGAACCTGAGTCCTCTGCCAAAGCAGCCAGTACTCTTAACTGCCGAGCTCTCTCCCCAGCCCCTGATTTTTAGAATGTTATGTGTGTATGTGTGTGTGTGTGTGTGTGTGTGTGTGTGTGTGTGTGTGTGTACGCGCATGTGTAGTGGGGGCACAGGTGTCATGGGACATGTCGGGGTTGGAGGACAACTCTATGGAGTCAGGTCACAGCAAGTCTCTTTACCCTGAGCCATCTTGCTAGATCAGCACGCTACTTTTGATTCTAGGGATGGGACCCAGAGTGCTTAGGGAAGCACTCTACCGCGGAGCAATATTCTCAGCCCTCTTTTTATTTTGAGACAAAGTCTCACTAAGTTTCCCAGGCTAGCCTTGAACTCACTCTAGCTTAGACAGGCCTTGAACTAGATCTGCCTGCCTCAGCCTCCCGTGTTACTAGGATCACAGGCCTGTGCCAACAGACTCAGCTTCCTCCTCTTCTTATAAAGCCACTAAGACCACCATGGAGAACCCACCTCTAGGACCTCATCTAATCTGTTTCCCAAAGGCCTACCACTAAACGCCATCAACATACATGGAGATCAAGCTTTCTCCAGAAAAGAGAGAAGAATTCAAACCATAGCAGCTTCCAGTCCCAAGAAATCCAAATGTGGGAGGTTTTCTCATGGGGACTCCAGAGAGCATTCCTCCATTGTCTGTGCTGTGTGGGAGACTGAGCCCGGGTGGGACTCGGTGCTAGGGTGCTGCCTAGCACACTCAAGGCCCTGGGTTCCATTCCCCAGAACCACAACAGAACCATCCAAAGCCAGGCCCTCTGTACAGGCAGCAGTCACTGAGGGATGCACACCAGGTTTATGCTCTGGCTCGGAAGTCCCATGGCTCACGGTCCGGAGCCTAAGGAGACTTGTCTACCTGGGAGAACTAGCGTTCCTCCCTCAGCAAGGTCAGGTGTGGCCAGCTTATTGTTGTTCGATTTCTGCAGCAGACATGGCGTGGGGAGTGAGGTTGTGTGCTGGGTTAGGAGAGGGTGGGGGTGCAGGGTAAGGATGGTGGGGCCCAGGGGGTGCAGGTAAGGATGGGGTGTGGGGTGCAAGGGGTGTGTGTGTGTGTGTGTGTGTGCGTGCGTGCGTGCGTGCGTGCGTGCGTGTGTGTGTGTGTGTGTGTGTGTGTGTGTGTGGTGGAGGATGCATGGAGTGTGGGTGGCTAGAAAGCCATCCAGGCAGATTCCGATAGGGAACACGGTGTGTTCTTTTGCCCTATTGGAGAATGCTATGCACATTTGCACTTTAAAGGCTCAAAGAAGCCCTTCAGTGACATCTTAGTTTATCCTAGTATTTCCCAGATGCACATGACCTGGGGTAGTGTGCTTGCCCTCTGCCACTCTTCCTCCCCCTCCTCCCTGCCCCCTTCTCGGCTTTTATTATGATATGCCACGGTTTCAATATGCCCCACGGACATTTAGGGAGTAAGAAGCCACTTCATAGTCAGCCTACACTGGCACTCTGATGCTAACTCTTCATTTAAATAGGGTACTTGGCCCACAGATGACAATGCTGTCTGTGCTTGTCACATAGGGTGACCATAGTGGTTGTAACCCTGGTCTCTATGGGGCGGCTGCCCTGCACCTAGTGCAAGGCTTTGGGGTTTTAAGTCCACGTGTGGGTCTGATCCTCACGGCCACTCTGTGAGACGGTGCCGTCCCGATCTGCCTGCTGGTGGGGAAACTGAGTGTGTCCACATCACACAGCAGCGGGGTGATGGCCCCAGGACTGACTCTGAATGTCTGTGTGGAACCTGCCAAGCCTGGCTTTCCTCTGGAAAGGTGACCCCAGCCTTCCCTCACTCTGTCCCTCCTTACTCAGTACTCTGCGCACATTCCCTTCGTAGGAAAAGAGATTAAGCAGCTCTTGGCTGTTGCTGAAGCAGGCATTAAGGGTTTGGGGGACCTTATCTCAGTTACTGCTCTGAATTCTAATCTGAGACTCTTGGAGATTCCGGTCTTTCGTGTCTGTACAGAAACTCTCCAGGGAGAGCTTCCAGACACTGTGATACGGCCTAGCCTGGCTGTTCCTGAAGTCCCCGGTCACCCTTCCCAGAGCTCTAGGAGAAAGGCACCTGTGGGAGGCTGGGCACAGTGCTGGGCACTGCCAGCCTAGCAAGCATGGCTTTGCTTCACCAGTGAATGAGCACAGCTCCGAGAGGTTTAGACTCGCCCCACACGGCACAGCTCCGAGACACCCCACACGGTACAGCTCCGAGAGGTTTAGACTCACCCAACATGGCACAGCTCCGAGAGGTTTAGACTCGCCCCACACGGCACAGCCAGTGCGCGTCGAAGCTGTGGTTGGTCCCACCTTGATCAAAAGCTATTTGAGTCGTTTGATTCTTCCGCCATTGACTCTTCCAATGGCAAACAAGAAAGGGGAGCCAGAGGAGCCATCCTGGAGATGACAGGGCTCAGAGGGGTTCCCAGAGGTTTCCCTGTCATTCCTGTTCTAGACAAGGGTGGACACCTTCAACTTGTAGGGATCCATCCAGCTTTCTGGGTACCCTTCTCAACCAGCCCTGGGGTGACCTCTTCATTTCTTCCCGCTTCAGCTCTTCTCCAAGGGGAAGAGATGGGACCCAGCCAGCATCATCTACCCGTCTCCTCCCAGCAGCTCTGAGAAGCCATGAGGGCTGTGTTGAAATACAGGGAGTTCATGGGAAATCTGGGGGCTCATGGGGGGCCTGGGGGCTCAGAAGCACAAAACGGAGGTAGAAAAGGAGGAAGAGACACTGTTTGTACTCTGGGCAGCCACACCAAGCCTGAGACACTGTGGCACTACTGGCTTCTCTGCCGAGGGACAATGACATGAGCCCGAGGGATGCTGTAGAGGAGCTGGGTTAGAATAGAGAGGGACCAGGGAAATTCTCCTTGAGAAGCTGGGGCCAGAGCATGGGATCACAGGAGGCTCCATGACTGGTTGTCACTGGGTGATCTGTTTACAGCTGCTTGAGACTGGATAGGCCTGTCCTGTTCAGCCCCAGCCTCAGACCCCATGGATAGAGAAGGTGAGACAGGTGAGGCAGCTGGCCCAGCCCAGGTGAATGGGTCAGGAACCTAAGCACTTCCTGCTTGTGAGCTTTTGTGTGCTAGAAGTGGGGAAGGGTTGGGCTGGGCAGGAGGTAGCTAGGCAAGCTCTTGGATTCTGGTGGGTGATGGGTCAGATACAGTAGCAATGGGTGGTTTTCATAGCATTCCTGACATGCTCTAAGGTGTGGTACCCTGCTGCAATCCTAGTGTACAGAGAGAAGCAAGAGAATGTGGGGTCAGTTTTAAAATAGGTGTGGAGGTGAGCTGGGCACAGCAGTACACACAAATCTTCTGGAACTTGTGAAGTGGAAGCAAGAGGATGGGATGCTCCAGACCTGCCTCGTCTACATAGCAGGACCATGAATAGATGGATGGATGGATGGATGGGCAGATGGGTGGATGGACAGATGGGTGCATGGCTGCATGGCTGCATGGATGGATTCATGGATGGATGGATAGATATGGATGGATAGATAGGTGGATGGATGAATATGGATGAATGGATGGATATGGGTGGATGAATGGATGGATGGATGGATGGATGGATGGATTCATGGATGGATTCATGGATGGATTGATGGATATGAATGGATGGATGGATGGATGGACGGGCGGGCACATGGATGCATGGATGGGCACATGGATGCATGGATGGATGGATAGATGGATGGAGATGGATGGAGATGGATGGGTGGGTGGGTAGATGGATGGGTGCATAGATGGAGAGTTCATAAGACTTACTGCAATGTGTCCATCCTGGGTCCACCCTGGTCCACTGGCTCAAGAGGCCTGAGGAGAATTCTCATCTATACTCTGTTCTGGATCTCACTTTCTCGTCCCCATCACATCACTGACGAGCAGGAACAGTAGGGCTGCATAGAGAGTAGCGTGCGGGGAGGGAAGGAAGGCACCTCCACTCCCATACTCTAACACACATCTCTCCTTCACAGGTCTGGAAGAGGTCAGGGGCCTGGTTCTACAAGGGGCTCCCCAAGTACATCTTGCCCCTGAAGACACCCGGCCGGGCTGATGATCCCCATTTCCGACCTCTGCCTGTGGAACCCACAGAACCCCAGCCTCAGAGCGCTGAAACCTGCCGTGTCTACACATGGGCCCGAGGGAGAGGTACGAACCCTGTGTCCTCTGTGGGGCTCCAGGCATCTCTGACCGCAAGCACAGTGACTTCTAGCTTTACATAGACACAGCCAGAGGGTCCTTTGGGAACACTTTCCCAGCAGGACGATAGCTCAGGTGCAAGAATGCCATGAACAGCACTGTGGCTCTTTGCAGGAATGAGATGTCACTCCAAACGGTTTTGTCTTTTTTAGAATTTATTTTTAGTTTATGCGCATTGGTGTTTTGCCTGCATGCATATCTGTGTGAGGGTGTCAGATCTTGGATTTACAGACAGTTGTGAGCTGTCATGTGGGTGCTGGGAATTGAACCCAGGAAGAACATCCAGTGCTCTTAACCACTGAGCCATCTCTGTGGCCCAAGCTTTTGTCTTTTTCTTGCTTTTGGTGCTGAGGAGGGAACCCAGGGCCTTGTATAGAGTAGGCAAGTATCTCCGCAGGGAGCCATCCCCAGCCCTTAGGGGTATTCTGGTCGTCTTTCTCAAGCAGGCCTGAGGCACCTCTTCCCTTGCATGCTTTGTTTCTCTGGAGTGGGAGAGCCTAGGTCTCTAGGTCCTAATATGCAGGGTGACTTGGTGTCTGGGGGGACTGTCCAGAGGTGAGTGTGTCCTGCTACGATGGCAGATGAAGCTGTAGAGGGCTGTGCGCTGTCTCGTGGGTGCCTTTGTGTCTCTGGTTTTCAAAGTCCCTCATCTCACAGAAGCTGCAGGATGTTCTCAAAGTAGAGATTCAACAGGTCATCTTATAGCCACAAGCCTGAGGCCAAGGCTACGGGAGCAGAGCTGGGCTCCAGGGCAGGCCCTTCCCCTTGGGGTCTGGTTTCTTCTGCCCTGCGCTGGTCACACTTCATTCAGCCAGAGGGGTGAGCGGTCACCTGCCGGGGGCTTGTCTCAGAAGAGGGAGCCTCGAGATCACAGGCCCGGCGGCAGCTTTGAGAGGCTTTGGGAGATGGCCGGCCGTCTTCACGTCATGTGAGCTGTTCTTTCCTTATCAAAAGGGTAACACATGTTTGTGACAGAAAAGAAAGGTCACCCAGCAGCAGTCCTCAGAGGGTGAAACCCCTGTGAGCCACCCTCGCAAACAGAAGCATGTTGGGCACTCGCTGTCCCTTCTCGGGTGGTTTTCATCCTGTGTCACCTGGCGCTTCTCCTCAGAGCTGTCCTGGTGCCGCAGCTTCCCCCTGACAGGACCCAGGCCCATGTCTAGCTTCCCTGACGTCACAGACAGGTGTGTGGGGTGCAGGGCTGGATGCAGGGGAAGACCCGGCGTGTGTGCATGTCCTGTCCTTGTGTGTAGGGGACTGAGCGGACAGCCTGGTTGGGACACTGCCTCACAGGGACGCATGACTTGATGCATGAGGGCCCACAGGCAGCAAACAGGGCCGGGAGGGAGGGCTGCTGGTGATGGCATCTGTGCCCACACTGAGAGAGGCCACTAGGGTATGTGGTATTGGGGACGACAGGGCTGAACTCGGAAGAAGAGCTACTGGCTGAGGCAGAGGAGAGACCAGGAGAGAAGGACAGTGGAGTCACGTCAGTGCAGAAACCACAATGCAGGGTTGGCCAGAGAGCTGCAAAAGAACCCGATAGCATGTGCACTTCGACTGCTATGGCCCGTTGCCGGGCAGCTTTGGTGCTCCGTAGTCAGTCTCTGGTTTCTGGCTGAGGGCAGTCCCCTGACTGCCCCGGGTCTGGCCATGTCCTCACAGGGCCTAGCCTAGCTACTCGACCTGTGTGAGAGTAGACCAGCTGGTGTGTGGGAACCATCCTTACCTAAAGACACTCTCCAGCTATGGACTGAGGGACCTTCCAATCCCTCCCTGTTTCTTCATAGTAGCTCATGTAACCTCGAGGCGAGGTCCATGGCAGCCTCTGGGCGGGGCTCTGTCACTCCTGCCTCGGGAATCCTGGGAGCTGGCAGAGGCGGCTGTTCTGGCCTCTGGGTAGCTGCTGGACTCCAGGGAGCAGTCGGCCCTCAGCAGGCAGCTGTGAGAGTGTAGTGTGGGGCTGTCCTCATCTGTCCAGTCCTCTAATGACCACATCCCCATGGTGCTTTCCAGCTCTAAAGTGCCTTTCCCACCTTCCCCCTAGCTCACCACCAGGTGCCCAAGGGCTTGGCCGCTGGCTGGGCTCACAGCTCTGGCTCTGGCCTAGCACATATAGCTCTCACAGCGCCACATGTGGGCTGACTGAGCTCAGGAGGGGTCAGAGCAGCCATCACTGTGGGTACCATTGCTACCGCTCTGAAAAGTCCTGTGGCGGGGCCATATCTGTCCTCAGCAGGCCAGTACCGTAGCACGTAGCATAGGAGCAGCTCCATAGACATGCGAACAAGTGAGCCACATGCCTGCTTCGGAGCCTGCAAAGGAGGCCGTAGAGGGAGCTTTCATTACAGCACAGGTGCCTCTGGTCTGTGAGCTGCTAGGTGGACCCAAGAGATGCTTGAAGGCTGGTAAAGCCACCTGCTCTCACAGGGAAGCTCTCTTCCCAGCCCCAGGTCTTCAGGGACTGCACGGTCTTCCTCCTGCCACAGTTCCTCCCACAGGCACGGAGCCGAGGCTAACACCAGCTCACCAGCTCTCTTCAGCCTCTGTCTGTGACCCTCTTCCCCACCCCCATCCCAAGCCCTGGGCTCCAGCAACCTATGCCTCCCATCCTCCCCTGCTCCCATCCTAGCCAGCCCTCCCTCGTTTCCTTTCTTACGCCCTGTTGGAAATGGAGGGAAGCGACAGAGATAGGTCATAAATGGTTTGGGTTTTAATTTTGTGGGCATGGTGTATGTATGTATGTATGTATGTATTTGTGTGTGCAGGCGCACACCTGCCACAGTGCACATGTGGAGGCTAGAGGGCTGCTTTGTGGGGTGTGTCCTCTCCTTCCACCTTTACGTGGGTGCCAGAGATTGAACTCACGTCACCAGGCTTGCGCAGCAAGTGCACGGAGACATCTCCCTGGCCCCAAGCGATGAACTTTCCAATATAGGCAGGGATCTAGGAGTTAATGGATGTTTGCGAGATAGGTGCCCTCCCATCCTCTTCCACAGTTTTCTTGATTAATTTTTAATAATATAAGAATTCAAGTTAAATAATTCAGCAAGGAATGAAAACCAGTAACCTCTTCTGTTTGTCCTTAAACCATAGCCCTTGACCACACACCCACTGAATTTAGGCATTTAAATTTGCTTTGCAACAAAAATAAACAGGCTCTGTCTTGCCTGTGACGCTGTTGCTTTTCACAGTTGCATTTATTTGTTTGTTTGTTTGTTTTGAGACTGTCTCACTATGTAGCCCTGGCTGGCCTGGAACTCTTTGTGAAGACCAGGCTAGCCTTGAAATCATAGAGATTTGATTGCCTCTGTCTCAAATGACAGGATCAAAGGCGTGTGCCATCACACCATGCCTGCCACTAGAATGCCATGGGCTCCTTCCGGGCCACTGGATCTAGGTTTTACCTCCCTTTTGTGGCTGAATCAAATCCCATGAACATTGGGTTATGTTTTCATTGTTCTCTGCCGGTGGGCCTTAATGTTGTTTCTAGATTTTACCTTGAAATATCTTTAGGCCTGGAAGCTGCAAACTGAAGCTCGGGCTATGTAATATCTGAGTCATCTACCCTGCGGCAGTGAGGCTGTACATCTTTGCTGCCCTGGGATACTGATGGAGGTTCTAACCGTGGCCAGTACACAGGGAAGAAAACCATTTCATCGTTTTTATGTCCACATCCGAGTAGGTCTTCCTGTGTCTATTACTTATTGATTTTAACTCAGATGTCCTGTTTTTCAAATTGTTGCTTGAAGCCTGGCACTGTAGTGCACGCTTTCATCACATCACAGATGCCTCTGGGCCAGGAGCTGCTAGAGGGACCCAGCACTTGGGCGGCAGAGGCTTCTGATTCAAGACTGGTCTCGGTTTCAGATGAAGTTCTAGTGAGTTCAGGACTAGCCTGGGCTACAGAGTAAGCCCCAGTCTCAAAACAAAATCTTATTAACTGATAAAGCCCTGAAGAATCTCCATCATTTGATCATATTTGATCATAGTTTGACTTTGTTTCATTGTGTTTTGTATTTTTTTTCGGGTGCTTGGGATAAACCCCAGCCCTTGATTGAACTAGGCAAGTGCTCCGCCACCTTCCCAGGCTCCAGCCTTTATTAGTGTTTTGTTTTAGATTTATTTCATGTGCATGAGTGTTCTGCCTGTGTGTGTATCTGTGTGCCATGAGTGTGCCTGGTGCCCGCAGAGGTAAGAGCAGGTGTCAGATCCCAAGTAACTGGAGTTACAGACAGTTGTGAGCCACCCTGTGGGTGCTGGGAATTGAACCCGGGCCTCTTGCAAGAGCAGCCAGAGCTCTAACCACTGAACCATCTCTCCTGCCCCTTATTAGTTATTAATTAGTCAGTAAAGCAAGAAATAAGCAGCTTTCTCCCAATAGTGGAAATGAACAAAAGGAACTAAATCCATCTTCTCTGCAGTGGGTGTGTACACCAAGAACTCAGCCCACTCCAACTAATGCCCCAGGGTTAATAAAGAAATTTAGAAATTGACAAGATTTAAGGTAAATCAATTTAGCCTGGCAGTGGTGGCACACCCCTTTAGTCCTAGCACTTGGGAGGGAGAGGCAGACATACCTCTGAGTTCGAGGTCAGCATGGTCTACAGAGCAAATTCCACGACAGCCAGGGCTGCACAGAGAAACCCTGTCTTGAAAAAAAAAAAAAGATAAATCAATTTTAAAAATCAATAGCTTTAATCTGTACTAAGTAATTAAAAGTAGAAGTGAGGAGACCTATTTGTAATTGCAACAAAAAATTATTTGATGCCTGGAAGGAGACTTGAAATGGAAATTATAGGGACCAGCATGTAGAAGACTAAAGTATTATTGTATTAGTATGCTTAGGGTGCTGTAACAAAATACTACAGACTGGGTGGGTGGCTTAAGCTACAGAAATTGATTTTCTCCCAGGTCTGGTCAGTAGAGCAAGATCAGGTGCTGACAGAACTTGTCTGGTGGCCCTTGTGGTGCAGTGGGTGGCCACCTTGTTCAGTGTGTGCATGTGAGGACAGTGGGGTTAGAACTCTGGTCTCTGCTCAGGAGAATACCCACCCTGTTGAATCAGGCCCCCACCCTAGGGCTTCATTTAACTCTTCCAAACATCTGGAGTTTAGAGCTTCAACATGAATTAAGGTTGGGGACACAAACATTCAACCCACAAAAAGGATAAAAAAAAAAAAAAAACCCGAGCAGAAAATCATGTAAAAACCTCAGTCCTGCGAGGTGTTTAATCCTGGTGTTTGGGAGGCAGAGGAAGCCTCTGTGAGTTCTAAGCCAGCCTGGTCTACATAGCAAGTTCCAGGCCAGCCAGCAAGACGCTGTCTCAAAAGGAGAAAAAAATCTTAATTCTTCCATTTTTATAGCTATATAAGGTCTATCTGGTTCCCTGTGTGTATGTAGAGACAGAATATGAATGTGTATGTGTGCTATAACATGGATGTACCTGGAAAACTTCGTGCTTAAGTTAAGGAAGCCAGAGTCAAAGGCTACACACTGTATGATCCCTTTCATAGGGAACAGCTAGGCTAGGCAAACCCATAGAAAGACACATGAGCCGGGGATGGGGGAGGGAGATAGGGGAAGGGGGGGGGATAGGGGAAGGGGGGGGACTGCCAGTGAGGACAGAGGATGAAAATATTCTGAAATTGAGTAGTGATGGCAGTTGCCCAGTGTTATGATGGTACGAAAAACCACTGCATTGTACTCCCCCTGAAGAGTGAATTTTATAGGATATGAATTATGTCTCAATTTAAAAGCTTGTGAGGAACTTAGAGTAGCTATTATAGGATATACACATAGATGAATGGACGGGAATTGAAGTAGAGAAGGCCCAAGAACGCATGGAAAGCTGAACATAGGGATTTTTCAACTCAGTGGGAAAAGGCATATTGATTCCATAACTGGAGCCGGCGTGATTCAATTTCTGTGTGCGTCCAGGAACACATTATAGACCTAAATGCTAAGAAGAAAACAATGGGCCGGGGGTGGGGGTGGGGGGTGTCCTGTGCCTTTACTCCCTGCTACTCAGGAGGCTGAGGCAGGAGAATCATTTGAGCATAGAGTTTAAGATCAGCCTAGGCACCACAGTTGAGACCCTGTCTCAAAATCAGTCAATCACCGGGAGTATTAGAGATGGAGTAGATGTAGCCCTGCCCTCTGGGTTACTAAGGAGAACGGTAAGAGCTGTGGGACAGGTGGGCTGCCCTCCTGGGCCTTGGGTACCGATTTGAGACAAGGATGCCAGTTAGTGACTCCAGGGAGGCTCATCTATGATGAGACATTGGCTCTTACCCCAGGAGGCTGTAAGGAATGGCATGGCCTAGGGCGGCCCCGGGCCAGTAAATCCAGCCTTTGTGTGTACTGCCTGGTTTCAAGTTGTAGAACCAGTGCTGGGGGCTGGGGGCTCATTGTCCCTTTAGCAGGACCTACCCCTTCCCCCCACCCACAAGGTACACATACTCTCCACCTCTCCATCCCCTTAGAGATGGCAGACATCAGAAAGACCAGAGCTTGACACAGCTGCATCTGCCTCAAGCTCCCTGGAGCTCAGAGGCTAGTCTGTTCGCTCTCTAGGAAGCCTGGGTCACAGCCTGTCCTCAGAGTCCTCTGCTCCCGCCTCCCGCCTGCTCGGGTCCACTCGAATCAGGCATTTCCTTCTGGATAATACACTGGCTGCCTTCAAGATCTGCCCTAGAAAGTACTTCAGGGTCTTGGATTTGTTCCATTTGGGTAATTTCAGGAAAAATTGGGGTTTTGATGCCACTTCCCCAGCTATTAGGTTTTAAGCAAATGTTTTTAAGATCCTGAACTGAAGCGGTCTGAAGGAGTCTGCAGTCCTGTGGAAGCAAGCATCCGGGTTCCATTTGGGGTGAGCGGTCTGACTCCGCTGATCTGCAGAGGTTTACCACGGTGGCCCTTACCCGAGTAATCCTCCCCCGCCCCCACACACACACAGAGCGGACCTAGCCTCCCCACATGGGGCCAGCAGCTCCTAGAGAAGCCGAATCACTGGGGCTGCACTGGCCTTGACCAGGGCACCCTGTGATTCATGGTCATTATCTCATTTGAAGCTCAAGGCAGCTGCAGACGGTGAAATTGACTCTTCGTGATGGATGAGGAGGGAGGCTGCACAAGGTCACGTAGGCTGTCTGCTGCACGGAGGGCCAAGGACCCAGGCTCTTCCCCCTGAGTGCAGCACATGGTGAAGCTCTCCTCTCCATCACCACGTGGCTGGCTTTGCCCTGTCTGATGGTTCAGAGGATTTTTCAAGGGAGGGAGTTACTGCTGGGCTACTGAAGAGGGGGTCTTGTGACAGCCGAGGGGCAGCCAGAGCTACCCTGCCTGTCTGTGCTCTTGGCCACTCCCTCTGCCTGCTGGGTAGTTTGCATCAGGCTAAGTCCGGGGTGAGTTTCTGTACCAGCTTGGAGGGAAGCCACCGGTCCCTCATTTCTTCCCAGAGCACCCTTTTAGCATCCAGCCACCATCAGACATAATGGATGGCACAGCCAGTGTCTTCCAATTAATTACCATCCAACCACAGAACTGAGTATTTTGTCTGACAGGGTAGTGAGCTGCGTGTCAGCGAGGGCATTCGAGAGGAGGTTGGACATCACAGCGAGGGATCTTCTGCGGCAGACACTGGGAGAAGAGCTAACTGTGGGCTATTAGTGTGTTTCCTGTTTATGCCCTCACGTTAGCTCCAGTCTTAGGACGGGGAGGTAACTGTGGCCTGAGGCTGGGAAAGCCACACGGCCCCTGCAGCTTTGAACCTGCGACCTGTCTCGTTAGCACAGAGCAGCAGCCGACTGAGCTAATAAGCAGGTTCCAGAGCCACTGATTTTCCATCGAGCGCACATGCTGCTTCCTGACTCCTTAAAGCGGCAAGCTATTTATACCAGGCGATCCATTCATTCTTAATGAGCCTCGGTTGTGGATTGTAAAATGTTTTATTTTCAGACAGGATTGCTCACTGCCCAGAGCCAGCTGTTGCTATGCCTCCCTTCCTTCCCTTCTCTGTTCCTGAGAAATTAGCAGTTTTGGAAGCTCCTTGGAGCGCACACACACACAGCAGCACACTTCCCCTGTGGACTCTGACCTGTCCGTTTTTGTCACATTGGCTGGCACCCTGGTCCCCGAGTCCCCACCGCCTTCAGAGTACCTGGGAGGATATGTAGGCGCTGGGGCCCCGGCTGGCTGTAGCACATGAAAGACAAGGCAGAGCAGGAGGGCGTCCGTGTTAGGAGGTAGAATGTCACCTGTCCGTGGGGGCTGAGACTCCGCCTATGTGACAGGTCACAATCTAGCAGTGACCTGATCTGGCTAGCTACTTAAAATGCACTGTCAATTTTTTTTTAACTGCAGAGAATTCTCACTTTAAAAAAAAAAAATGGAGTTCTGGCTTCTCTTTTAAAAATCAGAAGGTCTGCCAATGCCGCCCTCTCGGAGGCAACAGCAGCACCCCCTTTTAATGATGGCGTGTTCTCGGTTTGTCCCCAGCCCTCCCTCTCGTCTCTGGCCGTCTTTCGGTGTTGCTGTACCCGATTACTCAGGAGGGAGACCTGAGGTGCAGCTCCATGGTGGAGCGCTTGCCTCGCACGCACCGGGCCCTGGCTTCCATCGCCAAACCACAAAGGAAAAAGAAGAGTAGAAATTCTCCTGGGGTCCATGCCTCTGTGAAAAGACAATCAAAGCAGGGCTCTAAGAGGCGCCTGTCGGAAGAAAGAGTGCGGGCTTCCCAGGGCTTCTCATGTCAGCCCCCAGATCGCTGTCGTGGAAGGCAGGGGCCTGGCCATGTCGCATGTGTGAGCCCCTACACCTAATCCTGACACATGGCCCTTGCCCGGAGCAGCTCTGCCTGCTGTGAGCACAGCGGAGATCACCACATAGCCATCTCCCCAGCCTTCAAGACCTGGCTTCCTGGGCCAGTCTGTAGCTCTTGGGGCCTGTGAGGCTCCTGGGAGAGAAAACCTCGGTTATGAAATGGTGTTTCCCATCAGGATGATGGGGGAGGGGCCAGAACAGGGTCTGTTCTCTTCTAGTTTTCTTATCTTGGGGTTCAAGGACCCCTCCAAGGGTAAGGGCCTTAACAGAGGCATTTCAAACAGGCAGTCGATCAGAGAGGCCTCCCGTACATTAGAGACCAGCCTTCCGTGTATCAGCCAACACTGTCACCCTTAACTTTCTCTCCCCCTCCCTCCCAGCATCGCTGCCAAGTTCCATCTCTGCTAACTTTGCTCCTTGCAGGGACCTTCTGGCCCTGGGATGCTGTGGGAAGTAACTGGGATTATTATTATTATTATTATTATTATTATTATTATTATTATTTTAATATAATGATATCTGAAGCTCCCAAACAATACACAAGGACACACAGACCAAGAAGGACCAATTAGAGAGAGGAGGAGGAAGAGCCAGTGTGAACCATCTGAGAAGGCACCATTGGTCCCACAAGTCACTGACCCTGGTCTTCATGGCTCGGGGCTGCCATTTGGGTCAAGACAATAGGTGAAAGAAAGTCGTCGTTTGTCTCAGCTGGGGGCGGGGTGGGGGACTTGAATGTCATAGGAAGAGAAACTGCTGGGGGTGCTATGGTTCCCGGGCCCACTGTGGCCTCACCAGAGGCCACCCCTGGCTCTGAGCCGGCTGCCCATCGTCTCTGTGGCTGTCTTTCTGCCAGGCCCAGCAGCTCCAGTCATCGCTGCCACGGATTCCAGGTTTGCTCATGGTAGCCTGTGTGGGGCTCTGTGCATCTGGAACTTCAGGAGGAAGCCTGGAATGGGGCACTGCCCTTGCTCACTTACAGAAGGGGATGCAAGATACAGAGTCCGCATAGCGTGTGTGGTAGTCTCCGCACAGAGAGAAGGAAATGCCTGCAGCATTCTGGAACTGCGCCTCTGCTAGCTCTCAGGGATAGAGGCCACCACTCTTGTGTGGCCACGGCCATGGTCCTGCTTTAAAAGGAAGGCCCATGCATATGGCCTCATCCTGCCTTTTGAGCCCTTGGTTATGCTGAATAGCAGTCTCAAAACGGGGCCTCTAAACAGGGAAGAGGCTCCACTCTGGGCCTCTCCCTTCTCCCAGCAGCCCCCTGCCTGTCCCAACGTCTGTGCTGGCTTAGAAATTGATTTCCCAGAGCAGAAGGCCCTCATTAGCCACACCGCAAGGGTTAGGGGCATGGCTGTCACCTCTAATTTGCCCAAACCCGATGACAGCCTCAGCGGATTAGCCCATTCCAGATGCAAGGTGGGGTCTTGAGGTGCCGTGCCCTCATGGAAGCTGTGTCTGACTCAAGTGCAGCCCAGGGGCACAGAGATGCCCCTGGGGCCAGCTGGGCTGAGCTCTCTGTACACAGTACAGTACGACTTTCTGCAGCCGCCCATCTGCCTTGCCGGCTAAACCTACAGCTTAATTCTAACTCATTCTTGACCGAATGGCCTTTGGGAACGTGGGTAAAGGGAGTGAGCCAGGTCTCCCTCCCTGCCTGGTTCCAATAAAGCCCTGGGGGTAACAGAGCAGCCTCTGCTGTATACCAGGTCCTCTCCTAGACTTCCTGTCCATGCCAGAGCAAGGTTGGCATTGCCGAGGCCCCCAGCTGATCCCTCACTTCTCTCGGGGGCCTGGCAGAGAAGAGGACCCACGAGAAAGAGGCAGCTTGTCCTGCGTTGATTGCCCCCAGAGTGGTCATCAGAGCCAGGCAAGACAGGTAGCCCATCCTCCTGCCGGAGTCTGGACACAGACACCCTAGGCTGAGGCTCTTCTAGATGGAGAACTGACAGATTATAGGAACAGAGACCCAAGGGGACTCCCGACACATGGAGACCAGAAAAGGGAGAGGGGGGGGCACAACAGCAAAGAGACAGAGAGACTTAAAAATGTGTGAGAACACACATGGTGATACCTACCTGTGACCCCAGATCTTTAATCCGCTGAGCCCTCTTACCAGCCCCAATGAGACTGTTTTCAAAACAGTACATCTGAGAAAGAGGCACAAGCCGAAGTCAGGAGGACACAAAGGCTCATGGCACCTGCCAGCCCAGACAGGCAGGAGAGACATGCTCCTGGTTGGGGCCCGCTAGAAACCAGAGCAGTCATCTGTCCCCAGCAGGACAGGGCAGACCCAAACCAGCTCCTCTCCTTCCCCCGAGGGCCTCAGCCAGAGAGCTTCCTCATCCCTAAAGAGCCCACTGCTGGGCCTGGGCTTTCCCTAGACTCTGTCTGGAAGGCCTGGCATACCCTGGGCCTATTTTTGCATCTGCTTAAATGGCATCCATTTGTAAATCCCTCCTCCTCCGGGAAGCTCTCTCTGACTTCTCTCCCCGAATACTGTCTTTCCCACACTGCCAGGCTCTGCCCCATTCTGTATAGCCCATTCTCTTGGGAGGCAGCAGCTCTTACCATCCATCCTCCTCCTATCCAGAGCGCTTCATTCGAGGTCAGGGACCACAGGGTTTCCACACCGGCAACCACATTTCTATTGATCTGTGGATTTGTCTTCATTAGCTGGTGCCTCCTCTCTGTCTGTGAGCCTGGAGGAGAGAGAAAATTAAAATCGATGTGAATGAATAAGCCAGCATGGGACCCCTCCTAGCCTCATCTCGGACTTGTCAGCTCTCTGCTGCCCACTTGCCCCTTCCTGCCTGGGGTCATCCTCGGAGCCTCTAGGGGCAGCCTGAAAGGGGTGCTAGGGAAGGAAAGCACCCCAGTACCTCACCTAGTATGCCATGGGGTCCTGTGACTGTCCCTGGCTACACAGTAGGTCCGGTGGATACATATCCTGACTCCTGTCACCTGGTCCCAGGAGGGAAGGACAGGTAGGCACTGAGTCTCTTCTGGCTGTCAATGGCCATTTCTGGAAGGACAGGTTTCCCCCCCACACAAGCCTTGGGCAGTCCTCCTTCCTGGCTGGAGCCCCGGGGGACAAAGCAGAGGAAGAGCCCTGTTCCCCTCCCAACCCTCAGGGCCCACTCATCCGGTGTCCATGGCAAGTGGCTTCCCACCCTCCACTCCAGTCCCTGTCCAGGCTGAGTGTCCTTCCTAGGAGACATGAGTGGTGCCCGTCTGGCAACACTGAGGTGACTCCAGGGCTCTAAGGTCACCTGTCCTGCTGGCCTGGTGAACTACTTCCTGGCTGACCTCGCTGCCATGCACAGCTGTCCCCCTGGGAAAGGTTCTCAGAGAACAGTCAGCAGAGGGCTTTATCTAGGGCTGGGGCCGGCTCAGGGAAGGAGATACAGGCTGGCCTTCCCCTGGGGTAGCTCCTGGCAGGGTGATGTCAGACCAGGAAAAGCAGCCAGGTGGGTGGGCTACATCTGTTCCTGGGGCAGAGGGCTATGGGCAGAAGAAACAGGGCGGAAGGGATGCCTGGGTGTTACATTGAAGTCTGATTTTTATTTTATGTGCATTGGTGTTTCGCCTGCATGTGTGTCTGTGTGAAGGTGTCAGATCCTCTGGAACTGGAGTTACAGACAGTTGTGAGCTGCCATGTGGGTGCTGGGAATTGAACCCAGGTCCTCTGGAAGAACAGCCAGTGCTCTTAACCGCTGAGCCATCTCTCCAGCCCTGATTTTTAAAAATCTTATCAGCTTGTGTAGTATTTGGGCTTTTTTTCCCCTATTGGATCTATTCTTATTGAGTTACTCTGCCTCTCTCTTCTCCTTCCTCCTGTCCATTTCACAGATGAGATGATTGAGGCTCAGAGTGAGGTATATTGCCCAGAGACATCCAATGCAGAACCAGAGTTCAAGCCAAGGCAGTGGGCATGCGTGAGACAGCCTCCCCCATGCCAGGGCCGGCAGCAAAAGACCCAGAGGACACAGAAGGGCCCTCATGGAGAGAGGGATGAACCAGACATCTGGAGGGGAGGGTTCCTGAGAGTGCTCATTAGGTGAGACAGGGGCATGGACACCATGTACATGCTGGGCAAGATGGGAGAGCAAGGATCCCAGCCAAAGATCCCAGCTCAGCTTCTAAACATCCTCTGAGGGCATGCAGCACTCTCCTCCTCCTGTGAAATATGATTGAGGGTCCATGCTCCCTCAGGAGTCAGCCTCACCCCTGGGAAGTGGGACTTGGCCCAGAGCATGGAAACTAGCCCCATACTAGGGGACATGAGCCCATGACGGATGTCCCTGATCTCTTTGAATGCTCATAGCCACTAGAGAGGAGACCATCATTCATCCATGGCTCCACCAAGCACAGATAAGAAAACAGCCTGAAGGTGCACATCTGGGAAGTGACAGGGGACGACACAACCCAAGTCTATGGCTCAGCTGGCCCCGCCTTCAGCATCCCATGATCCCTGGCTGCTGCCACCAAAACAGCCCCCCCACACACACACCTATTCTTGAATTATGGGTGCCACGGCCATCCTGGCAGGGCCAACTGCATCTTTGCTGTGCCAGCCTGGTGTCCAGGGAGGACTCACTGGGGGTGCCTGTGCCCACCCCAAGGCCCGATTATCATTCCTTTACGTTAAAAATATTTTTTGTTGTTTTTAGTATGCAAAATTTTCCACCATCTGCTGCTTCTTGGCAGGATGTTGGAAATATCTCCCTACTTCCCTAACTCCCATAGGCTTCTGGAGACTCGGGGCTCCTTGGAGCAGAACAGCCACCGCTCCCGAAGGTCTTCCAGGCTCACAGCCTGCCACCATCTTTGCAGGTAGACGTGGCATGGCCCAGGATGGGGCATGGTTTCCCAGCTTTTCAGAGAGCCACCTCAGCAGCGTATCCGCTGCTGGGCTGACCTCACACTCAGGTAGCTGCTGGGTCAGTCTCTTGGTTTTTGCCATGAATCTTGAAGAGGTGCCTGGGATCATGGACAGAGGTAATGGCTAAGCAGAGCCTGGAGACAGGTCCCCAGGCCCCCATCCCTGTCCCCTGAGCCATCCCAGCTAGGTGTCTTGACAGGACAGCAGCTGCCACATGTGTCCTGTGAGACATTCAAGGGAGAGTTTCCAAAAAGGAAGAGTTCCACCCCCCCACCCCGCCTCATGTACCAAAACTCAAGAGTTTCCATGGTGACAGTCAAATTGCAAATCCATCCAAGAATGAGCTAGAAGGGGAAAAAAAAAATAAAACTGCCCATCCCCAGAGAAACAGGCCTGGCTGGCTCTAAGCTGCCCATCCGCTGCTTATGGTGAGGGCCCAGCGTGATGGGGGAAAATCTCAGGGATGCCAGAGCCTCCAGCAAGTGGACCAGGAAGTCAGATGGCCGTGAAGGAAACCAAGATGGGAGGCTCCCCTCCTACCTCGTGGTGGAGCCCTCTGAGTGCGGGTGAGGATACCTCCCACAGGCTCTCAGACCAGTGAGTGTCTACCAGGGTTTTCCTACCTCTGTTAGAAAGGCAAAGCATGGCGGAATACAAGCGCTTGTCCCCGGACCTGTCCCAGGTCTGGCCCTTAGCCACTCCTAGCACCTTGTAGAGGATGAAGAGCAGAGGCGAAAGATTTACGAGCCTGAAAGCTTCATTTAGATGCTGGAGGATTTACAGTCCCAGCCACCATTCAGAGGGAAGGCAGCATTGGTACCCGGGTGGCAAATTACCCAAGGTTTGGGTTTTATGGGAACAGGGAAGAGAAAAGCCTGCTTCCTTGACCACTGGAAGAAGCCACGGCTACTTGGGCAACATATTCGTGAGACTCAGGAGTATGCAGCCTCTTCTTTCCCTAGTGGCCAGCCACTGGGCAACCCTGCCTTCTTTAGCTTTCTGAGAGCAGATTGGAGATGAGATTTGCGTCTTCAGAACAAAGACCTGATGGCTACAGCTTAGCCCCAGCTTAAAACCCCCGGGCATGGGGCTAGGCACATGACTCAGTCAGCGAAGTGTTTGTTGCTCGAGCCTGAGGAACCTGGGTTCTGCTGCCCGGCACCCATGTGAAAATCTGACACAGCAGCTCACACCTGAAAGCCTAGCACTGGGCAGGCAGAGACAGGCAGGTCCTGGGGCTCACCGGCCAGTGAGTCTCAAAAAAAAAGGTAGATGGTGATAGAGGAAGACATCCAGTGCCAACCTCGGACTTCTGTGTATACACACACACACACACACTTGATACCAAAGCCTGGCCCAGCTTAAAACCTCGGGTACAAAGAGGCCAGGCAAGGGGACAGAAAGAAATGAGTCTCTGGGACAGCCGGATGGTCCCCGCCCTATGATCCCATGGTGAGATCAATTGTCCGTCGAGGCTGTTCCCCCTTTTCCATGGTTGCACCCTTTGGGTTTCACAGGAGACGAAGAATGAGTCAAATGAGAGCAATGGGGGGGGGGCTTCCAGAATTTGTCTTGTTTCTGTGACTTCTTTTAACCCTCGTACAGCACAGGTGCCCTTAGGGACCAGGTGATAGGTACCTCCCCCCACCTCCAGGGCTGTGCTGTTTTGGACAGGACATACAACTCTCCATAAATCCTATCTAGCAACTTGAGCCTGCTCCCAAGCCCACTCCTGGAACATGTACAATAGACCACAGAATGCAAGGGATGCCTCCATAACCAGCTCCTGGCACATCCAACCCCATCGTCCCTGCTGGGCCCCTTGACATCTCAGAGCCCTGTCCCCAGCCCAGCCACAGGAAGATGGAATATTTCCAGATCAGGAAGTGTTGATCATGCATAAATGTCTCTGCCAGAGAGGTGGAGAGACCACCGTGGAGGTTAGTCACCAGCCCTCATAGGTACTGCCCTACCTCCATTAGCATTAGCTAGCTCCCATCCTGTGTTCCTTTATTGCCCCAGAGGGGGGGGTGCGGGACGCTGTTCCCAGCGTCTTAACAGCAGCCCCACCACTTCCTGCCCACCGCCTCCCACCTCCTGTGTCTGGGGCCCTGTGGGGTTAGTGTTTAGTCAGCACAGCAATGAGTCAAAACCACGTGTTCATAGCAGGGACGCCAGTGGGGTCTGGTCTCAGTGGATTCACGTTCAGACCCGAAAAGGAACTGCCAAGTCAGTCGGTTCTTACGTATAATTCTCATGGACCCACCCCCATCCCTCTTCATCCCTACCTCTTGGTTCTGTCTGAAACGGCCAAACCGGAAGTCTTGCCAGTGGCATATGAGAGAGAGAACCAGAGCAGGAAAGGGTAAGAGGCTGGAGCAGAGGAAGGCAGGCCAGGGACAGTCACATATTCATCACCCAGGAATGCACACAAGCCTCCTCTTGGTGGACAGGGGTGTGGACGAGATGATGGGAGTCTTTCAACAGATCTGTGTGGCTGGGACACCCTGACTGAGCAAAGAGTTGACAGACGCATCTATGGAATCTACTTTTAAAAAGGAACTGCTTGTTTTAAATAAGATAAGTAATGAAAATTTTTTGGTCTAAGTTTATCAGATGTTATTGGACTGGACATTGTTAATATATATAATGGAGTTTTTATCTGAATCTGTCAAATGTTAATGGACTAGACATCATTAATGTAATTTTTGTCTGTATATATTGTATATACTTATTAGATAGTTTTTCTTGTATTAGTTATAAGCTTTCTTTAATTTTAGACAAAAAGAGAGGAGATGTGGTGGTATTGTGTTTCTC